ATCCTTCTTTTAAAAAAACGGTGTTGGAGAATTGTTTATTCTTCATCTCTGTCAGCAACCTTTTCACATATGAAATAGTTTTCCAAAATAAAGCTTAAAACTGTCTAATATCTCAGAGTAGATTGGTCCCTCTCCCAGTTTGCAGAGTAAGTAATCCTATACCCCACTATATCTGGCACAAATTATAGATGCACTTGAGTTTCATTAGTGTAAACATGGTAATGAATCACAGCAATGTGGTTTCATGAATGTAAACATAGAAAATGCAATAATTAGTCAGGTTTTCCTTTGAAAGACTGTTTTGAAATTAGGCATATCTTTCTCCACAGAAAAAAAAGAATTTTTCCAACTCTTTCTAACACACACTGTATAACAAGAAATGCTGCATACTGCAATAACATCTAACCTACATCCTAACTGCATAGATTACTCCTGTAGTACTACCTTATTTATCACTTTAATGTTTCTAGAGTAAAATATAGACCTGTTCTTTATCTTTAATGCTATCGCATTATTTGTCAGGAATGTGAAACAAGGCAGAGAATCAGAATCAGCACAGTATGTTTTGCATAGAGACAGCCAAGTTCACAGTCCTTTCATGCAAAGGCTACGTGTTTTCAAACATGCAAGTAAAGGTCCTATTACAAGGAACAACTATATTCGTGTGAAGACACCTCCAAGAACAAAATCAATGCCTATAAAACTCTCATTGGCAATGTCTCAATTTGAACCACAAATGCCTGCACTGGAAATAAATTTTCAGTTTCTTCATACTTCATCCAGAGGTAAAATATGCTTTAGATTCTGTGGAAAAACTGCAAAGATTTTGGTAGTTTGTTTGTAGGTTATACCTGTAACATGGAAATAATCTTTATGTTCTAATTTGTACAATACCTAGCACCATGTCAGCTAATTCACAGCTTGGACTCTAAAACATTACAGCATGCAAGAAACAAGTACTAAAACATGTATCATTACAGAAAACTCACTCTGTCCAGCATCTCACACAGTTAGACGTGGGCTGGCTTTAAACTGGAAGCCATGCAAACATATTAACATAGCACTGTATTCAGTCTAGCAAGTCCAAGATCTCAACAGGGATTATTAGTTTGAGCACAGCACTGCACTAACCTGCTTACATAGCTTCCAGTCTGCCATGGGCTCACATCCCACTGGCTCGGAGCCTGGGAAGGTTGGGTCTGCGTGAAGAAGACTGTGCAGGAACACTCACAGTTATTTAGAGTAACATGAGGAGCCATTCAGATACTCCTCTTAAGCTTTTTTCATTCCACTACCACAAGTCTTCATATTAGCAAGTCAATCCAGATCCACTTGTAAACAACAGCTACTTTATTCTGCTTTGGCATAGCAGACTATCCAGTATTCCCTAGAAGGTTCGCACCATTTTGGTACACTAAATATGCAATTAAAACAAAAAAACTGAACTTTACACCACTGAAGTGCCCAACCAGTTCTACATAGCTTCAGATCATTAAAATACAGAGAAACAAAATAGGAGTAAGTAATACCTTCTTAAAGTGTTCCATGTATCAGTCTCTCAAAGAGAAAAATGTATTCCATGGCAAAAAGGTTATATAAAAACTAAAATCATCTTTCTGGATATGGATTGATAACATGAGAGAAAGAAAAGGCAATCATAGATGCCTTTAGTTTCTTAAGACCAAGTATTATGAATTCAAAGTCAGAGCTAATACACATATTAAAAGAAACCAAATCAGAGTTACATATGGAAATAGACCACTACATTATCCAAACAACATTCATTCTGTCTTGTGACAGTACAATAAGCAGAATGAATGCATTGAAGAAATTACCAGATTTTTAATCATAAATATTTAGTGCCTTAGACATAACTGTGCTATTTCATAGTATTACTGAATGCAAAAAAACATATATAAGAGCAAAACCAGATTTGCGCATTTCTTGATTCAACATTCCAAAATACATTCAGTGGTACAGAGGATGACTGCACTTTCCATTACTGGTTTCATACTCCCCTCCTAGAGATCCAATGCTGACAATAGGCAAAAACTGTAAGTCTAACTTCTTAGGTTATGGGCACAAATCACAGCCAGTTATTTAAATAAATAAATATAGAAATATGTGCATACAACAGTTGGGGGAAGGAGGAAGATTTCACTCTAGTGGAAGAAGCTGGGTAGATAAATCCTGGAGGTTTGACATCTTCTACAATACAGGAAAACATAGCATTATCACCATTTCCTTTGATGTTTCTTACCTGTTCTAGTTTGTGTCAATTCTAAATGCGATACATTAAATATCTTGTAAATCATGGACTTGTCAGGATAAGATTTTTAACTGCGTGAGTGAAATTAAGGTAGTTCAGTAGCAGGTCAAATGAACAAAGTGCCAGTTCTGACCTACTGACTTACAAGAAGCCCATGAGAATCGAAACCAGCGAGCAGCTAGCAGAGAGGCTCACTGCTTGCTTAGAAACTGTAGGTACCATTCATTCCTTTCCTCCCAGTCTCCGAGTCCACCCTCCCAAGTCAGGCAAAAATTGCAGTAAAATTTGAAGAAGCTGACCCCACCTAAAAAGCACAGCACTGCATTCTAAAAAGAAATGTCTTCAGAGGGCTAATCTGGCATTCAAACATTGGGCACCATCCACTTTAAACAATATGTTTTATGTAAGCATAAAACAAAACCATACCCTGTTTTCTACATTCCCACAATCTTGGATTACTCAGGCTACTGGCACAAAACTGCAGCTTTCTTCAGCAGAGTCAGCCCCATGGGTCAACTTGATTCCTTCAAAATATTATTAGTTATAGTTTCTGAAATTGTAAGCATAACTGTCTTCCACAGAAACGTTTGTGAAGTTCCCTAGAATGAATCCAGGCTATTTTATTTGTCATTGTCTGGTGTTATTTTTTCCTTCACTTATAGTTTTTCTTTTTAATTTGACACTGAAGTTAAAGACACTGCAAATAACTATTATAGTGCACGACACTGCAATCAGTACCTGTATTCCCATCATAACTTTCATACACACACATTCCCCAGTACAATATTTTCTAGAAAACTGTACCCCTTTCTGGTGACTGCAGCTAATCTTGAGAAACAGAGCCATAAGGCAGGAATGGACTTACAAATTAGGCTTCAGCCTGAGCCAGCTGTTTTATCTAGTATTATTCCCTTTATTACCATCTGTCCCACCTGCTAATGTGTTTTTCCACTCACACAGACTCTCCACCACAATGATTTGCCATTCTGGCTGACATACAAGTATCAATGGAAAGGAAACTGGATTAAATCCAACTTTGTGCCACCCAATATTTGGAGCTTTGGTAAGACACGTGCTTGACTGCTGCTATAATTAAATCTGCCTTAAGCATGCTTTAGTTTATGCCCGGTTCACCTACAATGCAAATACTATCAGAGTTTGTTACCACTCTGCCTCTCTCCCTTCTGAACTACACCAATGAGTGGAAAGAAACAGTACAGTGCTGTTACACAAGAGTCTCCTCTCTGTAAAGCAATTTTTGGTTTTAAATACACAAGCACACTCTACTGAATGAATCTACTGAGATCTATCTTGTCTAGTTATTAAAGGTGAAGTCACAAAACAACTCTGCACTCTGTACTTGTGAATTCTTGGGGTTTCAAAACTGGTTGCATGCCTGTTTTTGTCAGCTATTTCCAAATCAGGCCTTCTGGCTGAAAAGTCATCCTAACGCTTCCTTCTTGGGCAGAATTGCCAGAGAGACACAATTTAAAGAAATGAGGAAGAGAACTGTGAAGGTTTTTTTTCACGACGGAATTCTGTAGCCATGGGCCAGCATCAGAATAAATCTTATTAAGGAGTCCAACACATTTTCTGCAGCATGTATTTTCCATATCTGGTAAAAGCCTGGCAACTAAAAGGGAAATAACTGCTTAAGCACAATTCAGAAGACTGCACAGCAGTGACACTGCCCAAAAAATCAGGAAGAACATGACAGTTACAAAGTGTATTATTATAATTTCATCTCATGTAGTGCTGACAATAGTCAGCAGTAACAGGAAGGGAACTGCTGAAAAAGCACAAGTGAGGTCACCTTTTTCTGGGTACTATTTTAAAACATCTGCAAAATATAGATGAGGCTTTTTAAAGACTGTAAAGCAGGGAGAGGGGGTGAAAGAATTACAGATGTGTGACATAAGGAATAAAGGCAAACGCAGTATAAAAGAGAGGCGGGGAAAAAAAGAGAATGAGGACAGAAAGTAGAATTCAAAGGAGCACGTGCTGATGGGCTTCACATTTCCAACAGAAAATTTGACATTTGTGTCCATACAGTGTGTAAAAGGAGCTCTTAGTTACTAGCACTGCATTCAGGAAGGAGACAGCAGAAAAGAGTGGTATCTTAACTGAGCTCAGTTCTAGGTATAAGATTAAAATAAAAAAAAAGAGGGATTCAATTTCATGTCAGTTCCTGGCAGCTGCTCAGCATTCCTTATTATCATAGCCCTGTTTGCTTGTTGAGTGCTGATAGTGTGCCAGAGCTGTGCTGTGCTTTGGAGTGCTTCTGAGATCCTTAACTCTGCAACTCAAGACCAGATGGAAAAACCTACTTTTGAACACCATTCATAATGCCAAAGTTTAACAAATAATAGAGTGTTACATTGACTTTGTTTGGAAAAAAACTTAATGGGGGGAATAAATCTTATTTCTATTGCTTTTGAAGCAGACAGGAGTTAAAAATAAAATCACCTATACCATTTTTGTTTTTTTCTTAATGACTACTAACCTTTTAGCTGGTACCTGAAACTATAATAAAGTTATTCTTGTAACTTCTTAATCTCTACATTGAAAACATTTTCAGCAAATGCACTGTACAGAATTCTTTACAGAATTATGATGTAATCATAATGTGTCAGTAGCTATGAACACCCGCACATCACTACCATGTTACGGATGCTGTCTGGTACCATCTACTGAAATGCTTCAAACACTCATCTTTTAACAGACAACATACTTTGAAAGATTCAGTCATATGCTTTGCTGTTTCTCCCGAACATCCTCCAGCCGTGCACTCATTCTGACAGCCCTAGAAGAAATAAAAGCAGAGGAAATCAAATTCAATGCACATTGCAGAAAAGGTGATACACAGATTTTATTGAATGATCACTCAGACTTTGTCTTCAGTAAACATATTAGCAAGAACTTTTTGGTAGTTTCTTAGCACAACTTTCCAATTTCTAGGGTTTTAGTTTTATTTCAGTTGCATTATTTTGCATATCTGTATTTCAGGGCTTTATAGAAGAGACAATGTCTTAGATTCGATTATTGCTCTGAAGTGTTCCACAATGATGTGGACACCGCCCCAAGTCTTTCATTCAAAGCTGAATAAATAGATGGTGCTTTTACACAATTCCATCAGATCCCAGTTTCTTTACTAAAGCATCCACCTAACAAATTTGCTTTTGCCTTTTCCCAGAGAAGCCTGAATAGGCAGAATGGAAAAAAAAAAAAAAAAAGAAAAAAAAAAAAGAAAAAGAAAGCATTGGTTTTGTGAAATCCTTCATTAAATGAAGACAGCAATAAGGAATGCTCACCTGTATAAATATATAACCAGAGTATTTTGAATTATCTACTATGTTGAGCTTAAGGCTTCTGCCACTGACCATGCTAGAAAGGAACGAAAAGTAGTGATAGTTCTAGGCATCCTTCTGCTCAGCAGCAGAGGGGTAACACAGACAGGTGCAAGCAACTACCTAAAAGCAAGATCCCCAGTTTCCACAGCATCAGGCTAGCATCTTTGTGGACCCTCCTGTGCTAGCTAGACCTTCCTTGCCAGTGGCCAGTAAATACATATTACACCCAACAGCATGGAGCAAAGGATAAAAATACACACCTGACAGCATTTCTTGCTTCACAGCAGCCTTTAAAAAAAGCTGGAAAGGTGAAGTGGGGACAAGAGGTTTGGGAGAGGGGGGAAGGTGCCAGGACCAAGACCATCTCGGGGATGGGCCATGAAGAGGATGGCTAGGAGGATGGCTTAAAGGAGCACAACTGGCAAGGTGGAGGGGATGGCAGAGGCAAAGGCTAGCTGCTGAGACTAGGCCAGGGATGAGCATGGGGAAAGTCAGGCTGGTCAGGGGGGCTGCCTAAGGGGGTGAAGGAAAGACAGAGGCACTAAGGGATGTTGTTGCCGGGACTGACAGACAAGGGGCTTTCAATCCTACAAGGGGAAAAGCCCTAGCAAGAGCCTGCACTGGCTGCTCACCACTTGGTGGCTGCCTGTTACCCTGCCACCCCTCAGCCTTGCTGCATCTTGGGTGGGAAGTCCCAGCCCAGGTGGGAAAGCCTCAGGTCAAATGCATAATCCCCTGAAGGAAAGAGGTGCACAGGAAACCCTTCATGGTCAACCTGTGAGATCCCTGCCTCAAGCTCTTAATCAGGGAGCAGCCCTCAGCCTACAAGGAGGGATGCACGTAGGGTGGATGGCAGTGCCAGGGAGACACCAGCAGCCACAGCCCTGCAGCAGCCACCAAACTATGGGGCCAGGACTGGGGCTGCATGGCTCACTGGCTGCGAAGCACGACACACACAAGGCAAGTATCATGATTTTTTTTCCCCTCTGCAGATCTTGGGGATACAGTCATTGGGAATTAATGAAAAAAAAAGCCTGGTATCTTCAGTGTGCCTTTAACAGATAGCAGGCTTGCTACCAACAAAAGGAAAAGCAAACTCCCAACCACAGCAGATCTACTTCCTCTCCCCACCCCCAATGCCCCAGGGAGGCCATAACATTCCTCCTGCCTCCTCTCACCATCAGCGTTAAGGCTTCTGTTCCTTTTTTCCTAACCCTCCACATCGAGACACACAACCACAGCTACAGGCTCCTTCCTAGCAACTAAAGGAGGATCTGCCAAGAGAAATCACCAATCTCTTTACAACCTACCAATATGCTTTACCTTAAAACCTTATTAAAAATTACTTTTATTTGCCTTAAAGCTTAGGGTTTTTTACTCCAGAAGGACATCTTTTTGGTGGAGTGTTCAATGGCATTCAGTGTCAGACCCTAGCAGGACTAAAGTGTTACCCAAACTGAGGGCCAGTCTGAACTGTATAATAGATCCTTGCTTTCCCTGTAATTCTTCAAACATTTCCAAATTCAGTGGTAAAATCCCAGAAGACTTTCAGGACACCATAAGTTTACAATAGTTAAGTATTCTGCTGATTAATTAAGCCAACTGATTTTTCTTTGCACTGTACTGAATTGGGGGTACTGATGGGGCTCTGAGCAACCTGATCTAGTTGACGGTGTCCCTGCTCACTGCAGGGGGGTTGGACTAGATGACCTCTAGGGGTCCCTTCCAACCCAAAGCATTCTATGATTCTATGAATTAGGATGGAGAGTGTACTGGTTACCAGCTAACAAGGATGGTAACTGCCAGCTGTGGAGCAAGAATTTCTCAAGCAGCTCCAGCTCCATTTCTGGCTTTTGTCTAATATCTAGTATGAAAAGTTGGATTTTCTAATAATAATTACCGGTGACAGCAAATACTGACAAATACTCAACCATTGTGCTTCAGTTTCTTCCCATCTCTGCTTTATGAAGTTGCACTAAAGCAAGCATCAACACAAAGAGGACGGAAGCTGGATATAGTTTAATAGTATAGTTTAATATTCTCTTTCATGGTCTTTAAACAGATACAAGACTTGTATGTGAATTTCAAGCGTGGACCACCTACAGGAACAGCCCCTAGGGGCTTGATCACATTGCCCTTCAGTTCAAGGTTCCCACTGAACTCAGTGAAGTCAATAGACTATTTTTTGGGCATATGCCACAGGGCCAATCCTGTTCTCCATGAAGTCATTATGTTTTACAGATTTAACTCATATTTAAAGCAAGTAGCTAACTGCCTTTGTTAACTGCACCAAGATTAAATAGAGTTAATCCCTCAGCACTAGAAAGACATACCACAATTACTTTCTAATTGATGGAGTCATATTTTAATGGCTTCACGGCTTTTAAATCTGAAACGTTGTTAAATGCAACAGCGAAAATTACTCCCTGGTTTAGTGCCAGCATTGCCAAGAGAGATACGCCAAGCATAAATTTGCCCTTTGTGTTTAATAGCTCGGTAGATTTAAAACTGCATCCATGAAAACATTGATGTTATCCTAAAGATACATTTGAGCCACTGGGTCGATGTCTCCTCAAAAGTCACTCAAGTTTGTATAAAGTTGTTATACAATTACACAAGCCTGACAGTATTTCCTATGTTATGGTGTAGAGCTAACATTTTATTTATGGTATATGTAACTGCTTTCTCCAAATTGGAAATAGGACAGTATTTCACAATTTTCCTTAAAAAATACTGAAATTGCACATAGATTTTATCATTACTGTAAAACCTGTATGAGAAAAAAGTGTAAAGGATTACACTAGATTAAATTTTGTTAAAAAATGGGGTTTATATATCATCGTATCACTGAGAAACGCTACTAAAATACAGACTTGGTGATGACTAATTCTGTCTTTACTTTTATAGAAAATCTCAATGCTTTAATAATAGTCATTGCAAATCCTTTAGTATTTACAGAAGTAATCACAATATACTCAGTTGGAGAATATTGCTCCCTCACATTAGTACTTACTTCCAATCTAACTCTTACGTAAAGACGAGGTAAGCCTTGGGGGGGGTTAGTCTCCTCCCAACAGGTGAAGGACCATTGTGTGTGTAACACTTACCAGCACTTTTGGAAATTTTGTATTTAATAGCTGTCAGAAGTTGCACTCTGCTAGAGCTTGCCCAAACCTGAACATGCAGCTCCTGCATTTGGTCCTCAGACATACGTATTTTCAATATCTTTTAGCATCAGGGTGATTCAATCAATGCCTGTTGGCTTTCCCTGCTGTCTTTGGCACACCTTCTCTGACTGCTATTCTGTTAAAGGCATGAGACCTTGTAGCCAGAGTATTGACCTGCAAGAGCACCCAACCAACTTCACTATTACCATTTTGTCATGCCTCTATTTATGCTCATCTTTGAGGGTATCCTCCTGCATCTCACAGCTTCTTCAAAATAGATAATCTACCTCTTTCATGCAGTCAGATCACTCGTCCTTCAACTGAAAGGACCTGCTGCCATGAAAGTAGGCCCGTCTGCCCTTTAAAATCCCTAGACATCCTAGACTACATGAGTCTGCCTTAGTTTCTCCTATGCCCTCACACTTGGTGGCTTTTGAGACCCAGTGGTAGCACCAATGTCTCTGTTCTCATTTGGGATTATCTGTTCTATAAACTGTGATTCTACCAGATCCTTTGTCAAGCTCTTGTTCTTACGTTTTAGTTACCCCATTATCGCACAGGCTCATCCTCAGTTATAAAATAGGAACTAAAGATTATCAGAAGCTTTGTCATTGTAAACTTAAGCTGCAAACTGCACTTCTTTAACCTATGGTGTATGACATTATTTAATTTTAAAAAGGCACCAGTTCTCAAAACAAATCTGCAATTACCTCTACATGCCATGTACTTTGTCACCCTTTTTCAAAGAAATCTAATTCTTTAATCAGTTCTGTGCTCACTTAATTTTCCCTATGGTTTGAGAACTCTTCTCACCACTGGGGAACAGAAAACTTTCCCTAGTGGAAAGTAGGAGTAAAGAAATAAATTACAAATAATTTCTACAGAGTTCACACTTTCAGCTAGGAAATCCTACTGGCTGCTTTTCAAAACAACTCAAGATCTGCAGTTTCACAAAATCCTTATCTATCTTTTTGGTTTCACCAGTGCATGCTTATCCAAGTCAGCCCACAGACAGCCCTGATGTCTCCACTCTGAGTGAGAATTTCATCAACAGCACCAGTGCCCTGGTTAGAGTACTACCAGTGACAGGGAACATCTGAAACCCCAGTTTCATGCCCATTAAAGAATTGCAGACAGTGCTTTGCTGGCAGGCATTGGCTATTCATGGAGGATGAGGACCTAGAGAAGCAAATAAGCCACAGACACACAGCTATGGCTGCATATAGTTCCTTTTACTGAGGCAACCCCATCTCCTGCTGCGCAGAGAAACTTAAAACCAAGACTGTCTTGGAGCAGTCATCAGACCCCAGGAAAGATGGAGTGAGAGTTTCCTCTGTCAGAAGTCATACGAAAAACAGTTTTCAATGAAGAAAGTCCTTTCTGAGGTATTTCTCCAAGGTAAAACAGTGTCTAAGTGCTTTTTCCTGTGCTTGCTTCTGGCTACTAAGTGTTTAAGAAATATTTCATGCTCTAATTTATACTGGAAGGATAATGAAAACAGAATCTTATCAGATTTCAGGAATCCAGCAGATCAATAAATTCAATACATGACTTAAATTATACTATGGTACTGCCTACAGGCAAGCCAAATCAGGTGTGTGATGACAGATACTTCAGCATTCAAAGCCATACAATTCAGAGTTGCCGTTCTGTTCCGGGTATAAAATAGAGTCCAACGTGCACAAATGCCACATATTCTGTGTATTGCTACAGTCAAATAAAACAGTTCCATGACTTCAAAACAGTTTTCAACTGCCCCTAGGAAATGTTAATACAATTTGGCAGCCACACCACATTAAAGATTAATTTGCAGGAAAAAACAGTAATGATGTTCATAGCTTTAAAAAAAAAAAAAAAATCCACCCGC